GAGTCTGCCAAGATCACATATTGTGTACATTTTATGTTGGCAGAACTCTGACAGCAGCCGAGCATCCCGTATAAAAAGGAACTATTTAGAACTATTCAGATTTTTGTAGTTACTATTCAATTTCTGTAATTACTCGACTAATAACTATAGTAACTACGTGCGAGAATAATACTATTCCATTACTGTCCACTGCGTGGACAGTACTATTCGCCAATAATCGTAGTTACTATTTAATTACTGTTCAGTACAGTAGATGCGAATGGTTACTTTTCAAAACTTTATTTGCCTTTATTATTAAAACTTTAAAAATCATTATTCAATTATTATTTCATTAAAGATTATTATCATCGTTATTGATATATTCCATGCAGATAGTAAAAGCTGAAGTTATTTGCCGTGAAAATGACATAAAAGATGTCACTTTGATATCGTAAAATAGGTATAACTTCATTTTCGAAGAAATAAAAAACAGTGTAATTATTCAAAACATAAACTAATCGTTGAAAGCTTTTTCGTAAACGTTGCGGCTAGAATTTTGATATAATGGAATAGTATTGGAATTTCTGCGGTTTTACGCGATATTACATGCGAATAAACTCTCAACAGACTCTTTTCCGGCCGCAAACGAGGATTAACGGCAAAGTTTGCGTGGCCATGCATCGACCGTGTTAATTTTGTAACTTTCGCAACTTGCGCTATTTAATTGCGGAAATTGTGGCAGATGATTATGAACACTAATTCAATGTCCACGTTTCGAACAGCCGTGCACGATCATTAAAAAAGTAATGAGCTAAGACAAGACATTCGTTCTTTGTGAGATTCTCCAGAAAAATATATTTAGTATTAGTATATATTTTTATGAACAATATCGATAGTTACTATTAATTGGCTAATTAGAGGTTGAAAATTAAGGTTTCAGTGTTTCTATCGGTTCTATTTTTGTTAAAAAGATGCGATAAAAGCGCGTTATGATCAGAGGGTCGAAATATTTACTTCAGTCGATAAAAATATAGATACGAGAAATTGAATGTTCTCTCTACCAAAGAAATTTATTACGTTTTCATAAACAACTTGTAAATAAAAGTTATTTTTCACGTAGAGCCATCAAGAACATGTATGTCATTTCGAAACAAAATTTTTAATAAAATATAGTATATTAAGTAAAATATACACGATATGCAAATATCATCAGCTGTCTCGCATTTATGATACTTTGTGTTCATCAACTCACGTTAATTAATAAATGTTGATGAAAATATTAATATAAAAATCGTGTGCTCCTTGCTATTTTTAAAATATCCAGGTCAGCAGAACGCAAATATTTTTATCACGCATTTAGCATTAAATAAGCTCATGTGACTTCAAGAAACGTATTCTGATCATCAAATATAGCACGAGATATCGCAATTCGATAACTCCATTCTATTAAGCTCAGATGTCTAAGTCCGTATCACAGACGGACGCATTTTCGATAAATGAACCGCGTAATAGAGAATTATACAGATCTAATTCCGTCGCCATCCAGAAATTTCAAGCAGTTGGTTGTAGTAAATTCACTGAACCGAAAATTCTTCTTATCTCGAATGCGCGATAAATGCAAGGTAAGAAGCCGCAAGGTCGTAGAACAGAAGTCTGCTTAACGATTTACGTTCACCTCGGTATATTTTCGCAAGGTAAAATTCTGGCCAGAACTGCAGTCGCGCTTTTCCGCGACGTGCCATTCGGTACTACTCGGATGTTTATGCAGTTACGATCAGGCGTCTGCGAAGTGTCAGGACTCTCCTCGAATACACTAACTGCGGCTTAACTGCACTTTACTGTCACACCACGACGACGACTGTCGAGAATTGAGAGTGTAATGCAACGTGACACACACACACACACACACACACACACACACACACACACACACACACACACACACACACA